CATAACTACCCTCTATAGCAGCACACTACCGAGAAGTCTGGCAATTGCAGATTTGGGTTGCTCTTCTGGACCAAACACTTTGCTTGCGATTTCAGACATTATTAAGGCTGTGGAGAATCTTTGCCTACAGCTGAAACATAAATCTCCTGAATACAAGGTTTTTATGAATGATCTCCCAGGAAACGACTTCAACAGCATCTTTAAGTCCCTTGACAGCTTCAAAGAGAAACTACGTGATGAAATCGAAACTGGGATTGGTCCGTGCTACTTCTATGGGGTTCCTGGTTCTTTCCATGGCAGAGTTTTACATAATCGAAGTTTGCATTTTATCCATTCCTCTTACAGCCTTCATTGGTTATCTAAGGTATATATGTATTTGTTGACTCTTTTTTCTTATTCTGATTGGTGTCTGTATGTGGGGTTAATTAATTTTCTACCACACAATAGACCTTTTCTCTTTAATTAATCCGCAAAGATAGATTAGTGGAATATAAATAATTTTTGTTTATTGGTGATTAATTAGGTTCCCGAGGGTGTAGAGAACAACAAGGGCAACATTTACATAGCCAGCACAAGCCCCTCAAACGTCCTCAAGGCTTACTACGAGCAATTTCAAAGAGATTTCTCTCTTTTTCTGAAGTGTCGAGCAGAGGAACTAGTAGAAGGGGGTCGCATGGTTCTAACATTTGTGGGAAGAAGAAGCGACGATCCATCTACCAAGGAATGTTGCTACATTTGGGATCTTATGGCTGCGGCTCTTAATGATATGGTCTTGCAGGTACACATTCTAAATCGTTTGTCATTGATGTAACTAAAAACTTTAGTTATGACATATTTTGATTAATCGAAAAATATTTATGCAGTTTCTGCAGATAAGTTATTTGCATTTACTATTAAAATGACATCGTTTTGGTGTTGAAATATTAAAAATTATAATTATAAAAATTATAATAACCGTGAAATAAATTAAAATTACAAAAACACCTTGATTTTCGCCTCAAAACGACATCGTTTTAGGCTAAGATGAACCCTTAATCTTAACCCTAATTTAACATCAGGTTTTATAAGATTTATGTTGTAGGAAAAGTGATTGTGTAATGTTATAGAGATTCGTTTTGCGTGCCTTAGTTTTTTTTTTCTTTAAAAAGTGCGGGTCCCACAAAATGTTGTGTGTGTAGAAAACTTTTTTGTGTCATGTTAAAGTACAAAAAAAAAAACCCTTTAACATGTGAATCTTTTAATATGCTCTTTAATTGTTCTTTGAAACATAAATTTACTTAGAGGATTATACATGAATTGATTGTTTTATCATTTGATGATATGATAACACTAAATAAAAAAGAGTAATTGTACTATATATGCATAAACAATATATATATATATATATATATATATATATATATATATATATATATATATGGTCAATGTCATTTTATAAGTTAAACTTTTAATTTTAATAGTTAATCTCACTTATAATTTTATTTTTTAGTTTTGTGAGTGTGGAATACAAGTTGATTAATGACAACAAATGATTGTAAAATTTCTTTTTTTTACATTGGTGTAAGATAACTTGTCTTATATATAGGGGCATGATCCTTTGACACTAAATCTTAACCGTTGATTTCATGAATTTAATGGTTATAATTCAAATGGGTCACACTTATTAATTATTTATTAAATCCTAATAAATTATAACCGTTAGATTGACGGAAATCAACGATTAAGATTTGTTGTCAAAGTTTTTTGTTTGACAACGGTGTTTGACATGTGTCAAACTAAAAAAATTGATACTAAATATTAATCGTTGATTTCTATCAATTTAACAATTATAATTTATTGAGAACTATGAATTAACATATTTTTCACACTTAAATTCTCAAAACTGATCGATTGCGGCCTTTGATTCATCTTATAAAAGTTGTGACTAAAATTATAGTATTTTAAATAGAATATGTAAAATAACAAGAAACGAGAGGAACATCGTAATAAATTTGTATATTGAATTGATTCAGGAAGGTACAATATATAAAGAAATACTAATGGGTTTAGCCCATATTAACCTAAATCCTAATGAAATAAAGAAATAGATCTTTACAAATAATAAAGTTATTCTAATGATATTCTTTCCAACAAAATATATATTCATTGTCTTTTGTAACATAAATCAATTTGGCATGATGAATATGAATCGTTTTACTGTAGGGAAAAATAAAAGAAGAGCAACTAGATACTTACAACATGCCTGTCTATTATCCATCCCCAAATGAAGTGAAATTGGAAGTTCTTAAAGAAGGATCGTTCACCATCAATCGCCTAGATGTGTTTGAAATGAACTGGAACCCTTCTTATAATTGGAACGCTTTTGATTTTGAATCTGAAATATCAGAATCACTTAGTGATGGTGGATACAATGTCGCACAGTTAGTGAGGGCTGGGACTGAACCTCTGCTTGTTAGCCACTTTGGCGAAGCTATCATTGATGAGGTTTTTAGCCGCTACCAAGAAATCTTGACTGATCGTATGTCCAAGGAGAAAACAGAGGTCACCACCATCACCATATCATTAACTAGAAATACATGAGCATGAAGCTTGCTTCTACTGTTTGTATTTTTGGTTTCTTAAAAAAATTGTCTGCGTTGTTATGGCTGTTTTTTTTCTTTATTTTTCTAGTAATCAACTAGGAAATGTTATATTGTCGAAAAATAAAACTAGGAGTATTGTGTCGTACCTTGGCTAGTAATTATATGTGATATATGTTATCAAATGTGTAATAAAATTATTTATGTGGGAATTATGATAATTAGTCTACTATATTCCTTACATTCGGTTGTTCACATTGCCAAACATTGATTTTACTAAATAAAATTTTTTGTCATCTTGAATTTGCTGATAATTTGTATATTCTTAAAATAAAGTGGAGTGCTTAAGAAACTGCTAATTAAGCTAAGGAAAATATATTTCAATTTGACAACATATATGTGTCCTACCTAAACCGTGTATTCAAAAAATGACGCGTAATTGTTTAGTATTTTTACTCTGGAATAGAAAATCATGGTAAAAAATGCTAGGGTTTTCCTTTTCATGGAGGAAAATATAGCTACTGAAGGCCAAACTTCAAAAGAAGAAGAAGATCTATTACGTAGGAGTAATAAGAGAAATAAAGATGGAGATATGGTGTTTACTGAATCACAGTCTAGGGTTCCTAGACATGAATCTTGGATGGTTGACGACGGTAATAAAAAGATGACTTGGCGAGAGATGCTCATGCAACACAATGGTGAAACAGATGACTGGGAAGGAATGGATTGGAATTTGGAAGAAAATGTTGATCAAAGTGCACCTGCGGAGGAAGAGGATGTGAATTATGGTGGGATTAAAATGTGGACAGAGGAAGATGGTAGAACTCATTTTGGTTGTACTAGAAAAGCAAGAACAAGAATGCTGAAGGTTTGGGAAAAAGCTCTCATTGTAAAACTACTTGGAAGGAATACAGGAGTGGCTTTCATGAAAAAGAAGATTGAAATACTATGGGCTAGAGCTGGAAAGATTAACGTTACAGATGTAGGTAATGGATTCTATGTGGTGCAATTTAGCAACAAAGATGATCTTCTTTTTGCTCTAAATGGTGGTCCTTGGATTATTTTAGGCCATTATTTATCACTCCGACGTTGGGAGCCAGCTTTTAGACCAAATGCTGCAAGTGTGATGAAGATTGCAGCTTGGGTGCGATTACCGGGTATCCCACTGGAGTATTATGATGAAGCCTTTTTCCGCCGTATTGGTAACTGGCTAGGTAAAATGTTGAAGATCGATAAGACAACTAATGAGCATGTAAGAGGACAGTTTGCTCGAATTTGCGTGGAACTGGATCTTGCTCAGCCTTTGAAGGGTGAATATGTGTTGGACGGAGCAACTAAACAGATAGAATATGAAGGTTTAGGCCTTATTTGTTTCCATTGTGGGCGCTATGGACATAGTAAAGATTGTTGTCCTGAGATACCAGTTGAAGGAAAGGATAATCAGCAAAATCAAGACGGGAAAAAAGATGAGGCTGAGTTTCAGAAAAATGGATTAGGTCCTTGGATGGTGGTGCAACGTCAACGTCGATAAAAAATTCAAACTCCAATGGCGGACAACAGGAAGCAGGAACCGGTTCGAAGGGAATCAAGGCGTAATCAAGGGAGTAATCAAGGGAGTAATCAAGGGAATAATCAAGGGAGTAATCAAGGGAGTAATCAAGGGAATAATCAATGGAGTAATCAAGGGAGTAATCAACCGCAATCAAATCAGCCGGTTATGATTGATAATCAATCAAATTCCCGTTACGCTGCTTTAATGGGCTCTAATGAAGATGATATTACTCATGATATCCCAGCGACTAATCCGGATGCTGTTATAAATGACGTCAATATGGTGGGCCCTCCTGTTAATATTGATATTAGTACATCTCAAGGGTCCAAACACAGAAACCCTAGAAGCCATCCTAATGTTGAATTACAGGAACACCCCAACCGATTTACGTTAAGTGGGATTACGACAGGTCATGAAAAAGAAAATCAAATAAATGGGAAGATAGTTGACAGAGGTACCTCAAACAATAATACAACGAACTTGAGGAGGCAAGTTGCGATTCATAATAGTAAGGACATTGGAGGTAAAAGCGGTGGAGATTCCATGGTGGCTAGGAGTACTGTTGCTGATTATAACAAAGATTGTTATCAAATGGAGGTGGATAAGGATGGTCAAAATATCAACGGCTTAGATCATGGCTTGTCCCAACCAAAAGCGCCTGATCCAAGTAGAGATAAAGGAAAGCATATCCCAATAAACCATAAGCTCAATATTGAGGTGGAGATGATTTCAGAATCTGAAACTCAGTGCAATGACAATGGGATGGCAGTGGACCCACAATCCTGCCAAATTACCATTGATTAATGTCTTTAGTTACATGGAATTGCCGCGGGGCGGCTAAAAAGTGCTTCAAATCAACGTTTCAAATGATGGTTCGAAGGCATAAGATTGAGGTGGCAGCTATTCTTGAACCTCGAGTAAGTGGTTCAAAAGCAAAACAGATAATAAAAAAGCTGGGTTTTAATAATTCAATAGTGGAGGATGCTCATGGATTTACGGGAGGTCTTTGGTTACTATGGAATAATGATAGGTGTCAGGTTCAAGCATTAAAACAGACCCATCAATTTATTCATGTTCGTGTTACATTGGCAGATCATCAAGCTTTTCTTTATACTGTTATCTATGCAAGTCCTAGAGAAGAAATTCGGAAGAGACTTTGGGATGATTTACTTCAGTTATCAGAAGATATCTCGGTTCCTTGGTTAATTGCAGGTGATTTTAATGAAATTGCCTTTCCAAGTGAGAAACGTGGTGGTGCTCCAGTTGATACTAGCAGATGTAATAAATTTGCTTCTCTTCTAACTGATATAAAGATGATTGATCTTGAAGGAATAGGTTCTAAATTTACATGGCGAGGACCAAGATTTCTTCATTTAGATAGAGTCTTTAAACGTTTAGATCGAGCTTGTAGCAATGCTGAATGGAGGTTGATGTTTCATGAAGGCCAGGTTCGAGTGCTTCCTCGTATTAACAGTGACCATAATCCTATCCT